ACTCCAATTAGTGTACAGGAGAAGTTTTGTTTAAAGAAGAAAGATAAATGGATAGCTGGAAACAGAACAGACAAAGGATAATAAATATTATGATTTGAATTGAGATGAGATAAATAAAATAAAACTAAGAAAGTTTGAAAGAGATGAGAAGCTATATAGAACATTGAAAATGGTAATAGGATATGGAATGGTATATAAAATGAATATGAATTTGAATTGTGTCTGTACGAAGAGTTGTAACCCGGGACTAAGCAACTTTCAGAAAAGATGTTTTTTATGTTTCTATGTTTTGTGTTTTTGTGTGTTTATGCTTGATTGAGTTAATAAAACCTTGGGGGAATGTTACAAGAGGATAATTGAGAATAAAAGATAGAAGAGAATAAGACAAGTCAGAGGAAAATATAAGTATAATGAATAAAAACATATAAAATAGATAAATATAGAAAAGAAATATAATTGAATAAAACTAAAGGGAGAAATAATGAGAAATTTGAAAGGATATGTATGTGTTTATAAGGAAACGTGACAATGTTGTACAAAATAATGTTTTATTTGTTTTGTTAAAATTTATAAATAACTTTCAGAGAAGAGGTTTTATGTTCTTATGTTTTATGTTTTGTTTGCCTTTAAAAACTAATAAAATTTGTTTTTTTAAAAAATACATATGTTCAGTAAGACCCACCAAAAGCTGGCAATCATTTTCCTGGGACAGAAATTGGAAGAGAACAGCAGTTGAAGGAGGAGACGGTAGCTTGACATTCAGAGTGAATATTTTCAGCTTGTTGCCAAAGTGTCGAAGACCAGACAGATTTTCTGAAGATAGCTCAGAGTCAAGTTGACCCAAGCACAAGATAAACGAAGCTTAAGGGTGCAGTGTGAATATGCTTTACTTTACGTTATGGTTTACTGTTTAATTCCCCTCTTGAACCTGATTTTCAAACTCTTTAGACCAGACCTAGTGCTTCACCATGTAGAAGCCGGAGGCTTTTCATTAAAATAAGGCCAAAAAAAAATATTTTTTTTTAACCATCCCTGTGCACACGGGTGTGTTACATCTTTTGAAATATTTTGTGTTTTGAAAAAAATGGTTGAGCTAGTTTTTTTTTGGGGGGGGGGGGAATCACTGATTTTACATTGTGCTATGTTAAAAAGGCTGCCAATAAACAAAATCCGAGACTCATGGAAAAATCTTTCTTATTAAATTGTTGTATTTATAGCACCTGGTAATTTGGGACTGATGGATTTTCTTTTGTGGTATTACTCTGCACTTGATCATGTTAGCAGAATAATACATGGAATATTATGAGACTGCTAAAGCAGTACTTTATGAATAATCGGGTGTAAAAAACCCCACTGTTGCTGATTTTTCTCTCTCTAGCCATAGTGCTGACACTTAAAGATAAAAAGTGTAAGATGTATCAGTTTAAAACAATCTTTGTCATAGGTGGATTATAAAAAATGGCTGGCATGACATCTGTAGGACAGAAATTGAACAAACGCTCAAATAATTACATTTCTTATTGCTGAATAGGATATAACCTTTCAATTGATCCTAGTTCCTAAGCTTTGAATATTGTGGTGAAATTGGGACAGATACTTCCTTAGAATTTTTTTTTTCCTGAAAGGATAAACATAGTTTCTACCCAGTAGAAAAATTGCAAGGGCAAAAGGGTAGGATCATTAAAACAGTGTCTTATATCAGACCAGTTTATTTGTCCATGTTAATTGAGCACTGATTACTGTCTAAGGCTGCTGACTTACGATGATCTTTGGCTGTGGTATTTCTTCTTTTGTGTAGCTTGATTCTTTGTTTAAAATAGAAATACCAATTGAATGTTGATCTTTCTGCACATGTCAGGGTTAACATTGACCTATACTTTCATTAAACAGGGTCACCAAGAGTATTAATATCTCTGCCTTATCATTGTCTTCCCTGGGCTTCTCCATCTTTTCTGCATCCAGACAGACAGTACCGAAATTTTATAGATAATAGATAGATAGAAATAGACAGACAGACAAATCCTCATTATCAGTTATTGGCTGGATTCACAGTTTCTTAATATGTAGACTGGTCTGGTCTAGTACCAGGCTAGAAAGCAAGAGGCCATGAGTTCTAGTCCTGCCCTGGGCATGAATGCTGGCTGGTTGACTTTGAGCCAGTCATTCACTTTCAGCTCAACCCACATCTCAAATATAGGAAGAGGTAGGAACATTAAATACGTTCACTGCTTTGAGTTATTTATAAAAATAACAAATATGGGATTAAAACGAAATATTTGTTATGCTGACTTTTGACAATAAACTACAGTGAAATGATGACATAACCAAATGTATGTTAAGGAAAGGGAGCAGAGTTTACAGATTGGGCATCTCTCCAAGGGTTCTTGTGTGGGTGGCTGGACTTCCTGCAATCCCTGGATGTATTTGGCAACCCAAGCCATCTTGATCAGCAGTGAGGGATACTGGGAGTTAGTAGTCCAGCTGCAGCTTGAGTGGGAAAAGGTTTAGATAGAAGGCAAAGCCTTCCATGAGGCACGGTATGCAGAAATTACACTCTATTGCACAACTATAGGACAAGAAGTTTCTTCTTGTTTTTCTGCTGTCCTTGAAGCAGGGAACATCTTCAAGAGACAGGAAAGTATATGATTTTACACTAATAACTATATCAAGAAAAAGAAGGACGAAGAGCATGACATCACTAGCTGTCCTCATCTTATTTCACAAACTTAGGATACATTGATATAGTTTTCTGTAACAGATAGAAACTCGGTAATATGATAGAAACTTTATAGTAATATGTATGGTATTTAGGTTTCTTCGGGTATTTTCCCACGTCTTAATATTTGTGCTTTTAAAATTATAGCGACGTTTCGGCAGAATCTCATCTGCCATCCTCAGGCTTGTGTATTGGGTTCTTTTTAATCGTGTGTGTCAGGCTTGGCAGCCGTTTTTTGTTTGAATTTGGTGCTGGCTTTCTGCTTTATTTTGAATGGTTTTTTCCTCATCCTGATTGGCTGGGAGTCTAGGTCTGTGTTTATTGGTCTTCAAGTTGTGGTTTTCTTGATTAGACCTAGACTCCCAGCCAATCAGGATGAGGAAAAAAACATGCAAATAAAGCAGAAAACCAGCACCAAATTCAAACAAACAATGGCTGCCAAGCCATTCACATGATTAAAAAGAACCCAATACAGGATGGCAGATGAGATTCTGCTGAAACGTTGCAATAATTTTAAAAGCACAAATATTAAGATGTGGGAAAATACCCGAAGAAACCTAAATACCATACATATAAATACCCACAAAAACATAAGAAAACAAATTATAGTAATATGTTTCTAGTTTAAAAAAAAATCCTTTTTGAATCTTCATCTTCTCCTAAAATACCAACACAGCATACTGAATTGGCTAGAAATGCTTAGCACATTAGTGGGTTTACTTATCCCAGTCCACTTGCGTGGTTTTGAAGACTGAAGAAGGGCATAGATTTCTTTCTAGGATGCTTTCCAGATGATGGTTTTTTTTTTTTAAATTGTACTCAATGGCAGAATTACAAATGCAGGAAGCATCCATTTCAGGTGAAATACCAGTTACTGCCACTCCTACATGGGGAGGATGGGATGACCTAAGTCCGCAGGAGCACAGAGAAGATTATGAGATCAGTTTGACTGTGTTGTGGGTGAGGGAAATAGGATCTGGATGGCTAAGGTTTCCCCTGTTTACTGCTCAATAAAGAGAGAGAGCAGAAGTCATTGCTGTGGTTTCCATGCGCTTGAAGATAATCTTTTTTGCTGAGCTGTACTTTTTTGTGCCTTAATGTAAAATATTTATGCCTTGTCACCCCAGATGCTCAGGATAATGCTCCAAGTGATCCTCCACATTATTGTCATTGCTTCTCACTCTGACTCTGTGATCTGGTCTCCCATGGCTAAACGTTCCATCCTGGTGGGTCCCTCTCAGTTCAGTGGAATGTCTCTGCTGTTGCAACTCAGTGTAGAAGTGGGCTTGATGCCGAGAGCACAAAACGCTGCTGCACAGTGAGTGCGCAGCGCTTCCCAAACAGCTGAACTGAGTCTGACAGCCTCTTATCTTCCCTGCAGACGTTTGTGTGTTTGTTTTGCTTCAGCAAAAGGCCAAGTGAGATTGTCTAATTCTAATTCTTTTCTCTCAGTGCTTCCTCCTTGTGAGGAGAAAATGCTGGAGATGGGTACGCTTCAGCATAGGACAGTTGCCACAAAGAACAGACATATATATGTGGCTGTTAGCTTCGAGCTTCTTATATCATTTGCACGGACAGTTTGTGCACAATTGGGACTGGAATTCCGATCTCTAAGCTATAGGATGGGAAAGTGAGACACGATGTGATCCTATTGCAATCCTGTCACTCACCATTGCTGTCCTTAAGTGAAATTTACTGGTCATTACCTGAGAACCCCATTCCAATCCAAGCCATTCTGGCTTTGATCTCTCCCAACCCCAATCCTCAGTAAGGAACTGCCTTCAGCTCCCCTCAACTGCCTCTCTTCCCCGCATTTCAGCTCTTTTGAACCCCTGCCACCCTACAGCTTACACATTGCACTGCTCTGAGGCTGCCCTAGCTTTGCTGTTTTCCTGTTTCTGCTATTGGTGAAGCATGTCTGGTTTTGTACTGCCAATAAACCCCAACCAAAACAACAGCAACAACCCCATGCACACATATACACCCCCAAAAGCCAAAGCCAGTCTCCCCCCCACTTTTTTTTCAGTGCAAAGCCAGACCCAACTGGCACACCTTCTCAGCAGCAGGAGCAAGAAGATGGCAAAGGTGGCACCATGGTGAGAATGCAGTACTGCAGGCTACTTCTGCTGACTGCTTGCAATTTGGCACTTTGAATCTCACCAGGCTCAAGGTTGCCTCAGCCTTCCATCGTTCCGAGGTGGGTAAAATGAGGACCCAGATTGTTGGGGGCAATACGCTGACTCTGTAAATTGCTTTGAGAGGGCTGTGATGCAGTATAAAAGTCTAAGTGTTATTGCTATTGCTAAAGGGTGGCTGGGCCTGTGGACCTCCTCAGGATAGTAGGAAGCCAAAAGGCCATAGATGGGGGTGGGGAGATAGATGAGTGGGGAATTGCTGTGTTCCTGTAGTTGCTTGTGTTCCTGCAGGCTGTCACTTGAATTTTGATCACGTGACTGCAGGGACACTGCAATGGCTGTAACATTGACATAAGTTCATTTGTTCAGTGCATCGTAGCTTCAAATGGCTGCTGAATGAATGGTTGTAAGTCAAAGATTACCTGTACATGTCTTCACTCATATGTACAATTACTTGGCCATCAGCAGTATGAAACATAATAGGGAAATGATTTTAACAAAACAGATATAAAATTGCATTTTAAACTAGTTACTGGCTGTAACAGGAAAGGGCATCCTTCCTGGTTTTGATGCCTGCCAGATGCACCAAAGAAACCAACACTACAAAAAAAAACTTTGAATATTACAGTATAGAGCAATATGAAACATACTTGCAAATAAACCATGCAGTATATACCAAAAAGGAAAAATGAAGTTTTGGGGTGGCTTTCAACAGTTTCCAGATTTGAACATTATTGAATATTCGAGGGAAAGTTTCAGGCAGGCAGCACATATAAAGAGACATAAAAATATTTTTCAGCTAGATGAGTTCTGCAAGGAAGAATGGTGAAAACATTCACCAAGCCAGAACAGACAGACTCTTAGCTGGCTATGGAAATGAGATGTCACAGATTGAAGGTGTGCACCTGTCATGCTTATAGTTTTCTTGGGGTATTTTTTTTGAATCTGTAAAGAATTGTACAGTAATAATAAACATACATTCTAATTTACAGAAAGAACTCAATGTTTAATATTATTCCATGTACGGGTTGTAACTGCATTGGTCTTCTTATGGATTCATTGAAATATACAGTTTGGCGAGGGATTACTATACTTCTGCATATTAACTTTAGCAAAAAAAAATTCTACCTAACAGCAAGCATTTGTTTACTCTTCTATAAAAGGTTTATTATGGAAATATTTATTTATACCTAAGGTAGAAGGGAGAGGACTCTTCATTATGATAACAGCATTGTGTGCTTTAAACAAAGCTTTCAAGTGGAAAGGCATCTGTTCTGTATGATTAGTAGGTTTGTAGCCTGCTCAGTTCTAGTCTTAAGGCTGATAGCAGTTTCTCCACCTGAAGCACAGTACATTAATATTCTTCAACCTGAACCCTTCCACCCCAGGTTAAGTTGTCAGAGTTAACAGCAATCCCAAGACCCCTGAAAGCAACCATTAGATGGTACTGTTCTCCCCTGAAGTGACCAGGTTCTATCAGTAACAAGTACCCAAGGACAGAGACGTTCATAATTGGAACTAAATGTAATTGACTTTGAGAGCAAGTTTGGTGTAATGCTTAAAACACTGGCTAGTAATCAGGAGACCATGAGTTCTAGTCATTGCTTGGGCTCAAAGCCAGTTGGGTGATCTTGGGCAAGTCACAAACACTTCTGAAAAACCTTGCCAAAAAACTGCACAGACTTGTCCAGGCAGTCTCTGAGAATTGGACACAAATGAATGGGAGAAACAAAACTGATCTTACATCAACCTGTGTCTGGCTCTGAGTCAATTGTTTTAGTTCTATGAATTTTCCAGTGCCCCTCCCCCCAACCCCCAGTTTGCATGGGTTTTATTTCATGCAGAAAACCAATGTTACTTATCCAGATGTATCAAATTGAGGTGAGGGTACAGGGAGGCACATGAAAGACCTTCAAGTAAGCAGTTAGTTGGATAAATGGAAACGGTATTTGGATAAGGTTACATGTAATATGCATCATATGGTGAAAAAGCAGATTAATCAGATTGTAAAGAGTTGTGCAGGCTCAGCTGTTGTATGTATAGCTCAGTGAAAAGTACACCGATAAGGTAGTTCCATTTGTAAAAAGGGCAAGAAGGTTTTTAAGGCCCATTGCTTTCCATGGGATTCAGCTTTCTCTGCTAAGTACATATAATACTTTAGATATTAACTATGAAAGAATTGCAGTAGAAAGTCCATGTTTTGCAGGCAGAGAATTTGTGATTCAGTCCTTGCTGTCTGCAGAAAAAGATGCCTGCAACTGACTGAAATCATTGAAACGTGTTGCTAATCAGTGTACAGAGGGGTATCAAATTCGCAGTGTCGCATTGTTGTCATGTGACATATTGTGACTTCCCCCCCAGGGCTGGGCGTGGCCAGCACATGACACATCCGGCCTGTGGGTTACAAGTTTGACATCCCTGGCATAGACTAATGTTTCTCAACCTTGATGAAAGTTAAAATGGTCAAGTGTTGAGAAACGCCAGTATAAAATACAGGAGGGCAAACTTTTGCATTCTAGATGTTCTTGGGAGTTCCATTGTCATCATCTAAAAGGCCACAGGTTGTCTATCTCTGGTATCAATGACTTGAGCAGGACAGATTAACCATCTGATTAAGCCTAATGAGATCTGAATGAGAATGCTACTGAGAGAGATAACGGCAAGTTCTTGTGGCAAATTATGATAAAGCATTTGCTACAAAGAGAACAGCCATCTGTCTAACTCTGCTTGAAAGAATATTCTTGACCTCATTATGAATTATTCTGCAAATTAATTAATATATTAAATGCCCAAAGTCTTATTTTGGGCAACCATGGATATTCCAGTCTTATTTAATTATTCTCCTCCTCCCTGAGTTTGGTGGCAGATAGTCCCTTATGAGTGAAAGGAGATTGAAGGTTCAGATATTTTTCTTAATTTGTTCTTGGGGATTTGATGTGATCCGGTAAATCCTTTTATTTGTGTTTCTGTCCCTTTGCCTTTTGTTATCTGCAGTTTTGTTTTTGCTTTGCAAATGTCAAACGAAGATCAGGATATTTTTATGAGATTTTCATCCCCTGCAATGAAAACTTCTCCCATTTTTTTTTTTTTAAAAGGGATCTTCCATCACTGGCCAAGAAATTCACGAAAGAAGATATTGTGTTTTTAAATCATTATGTTTCAGCAGGGATTGTGGTTATGGAGAGGAATTCAAGTAAATAACAATAGCACTTAGACTTATATACTATTTCACAGTGCTTTACAGACCTTTCTAAGTAGTTTACAGTGTCAGCGTATTACCCCTAATAATCTGGGTCCTCATTTTACTAACCTTCGGAAGGATGGAAGGCTGAGTCAACCTAAATGTAATACAAACCTGAAATATCTTTGATGTTTTATTTATTTATCAAACTTACGGTATATAGTTGCCCATCTAACTAGAAGTGATCCTTGTGTTTTGTGCCAGGCAGCTTTCCGTCTTTCCCCAAGATTTTTGTCCCTCTGCCTGCCCTCCCCCCCACACCCCAATCTTCACTGCTTGCTTCTTGCAGGACTGTATCCAATATTCCAGCGCCCATGTAAAGCCGCGCATTAGCTATCACTCTTCTTGAGATAATTATAGGTTTGTATAATGTACCTATTGTTCTATTCCACAAAGCCTTGCTGTCATCTAGATGGCTGTGGTGGGGAGATGAGAGAATCTCTCTGTGCCTTTTGCAGCCACACTGTGCAGCTAATTAGCATGCTGCTTTTGCCTCTTCCTTCTTAGGGTTTCCTGTTTGAGAGGCCAAACTCTACCCTTTTCCTGGCCTGTTTGTTCTTGCTTATTGGCTCTTGTGTGGTACCACTGCAGATGTGTCAGGCAGCCTTCTTCACTACTTGTGCTTAGAACTACATTGATTCACTTGCTATATACAGGTAAGTCAGGGTGTAGGATGAGGTTGTCTTTGTAACACACTTACAAATGCAATGGAAGGCTCACACAAGGAAGGGGCATCTTGTTTCCAAATATCCTACCCCGGGATAGCTGTCAGTCCTCCTGCAGTTCCTCTGGAGTTGGACTTGCTTTTTGGAACTTCATTCATTCAACCAGCTTAGGTTTTTTTTTCCCCAATGGGAGATCAAGGGGGTTCATCATACTGAAAATAACCCTAAAGATTTCAACAGTGGTCAGAGGTAGAGAAGCAACAACAGTCAAAGCAAGAGTTACATTGATCGCAATTTGGCAGGGCTAAATAAAGTGGAATACTTTGTGCTTTAGAGAGCTCTTGCAACCAGATCATCTTGCTGACTATAGATTATTTATCTGGCTGCAGTAGTGGAGGTAGGTCCTATTAACCTGAGTTTAAATATATTATGTGAACTCAGCCTTTCAAGATTGAACATAACAATTATTTTTTTTATAAAACATCTGATTTCTCCCCTCCCCCACCTTTGCATCAAGCACTTTAATGAAAGAGGATTTTCTTCATTAATGTCTGAATTACTAACAGATGGAGATCAACTTCCATCTTCAGCCAGGGTGGACATACTGTATCTCAAGTTCCATTCAAATAGAGGGTTTGTTGGAGAAAACCGTCCTAGGCTGAAGGAGAACTCAAACTGCATTGGCCAAACTGATATGACTTTGAAGTCCAGATCCAGCATATACTTTCATAATAAATATAGGAAAGAAATATTGGCAAGCTGTCAAGATTTTTAATACAATGAAAAATTCTAGCAAGGAGTCCTTCATTCACATGTATATGTGGATTTACGCACGGAGTTCCATCAACTGAAACAGGCAAAAGTTATATTCAAATATGTTTTGTCTAATAGACAAATAATCATTTCAAAATGAGGAATAATTAACCAAAGCAATCACTGAGATTTAAAAAAAATGCTAGCTTAAAAATTCATTTTAAAATGCATATACAAAGATATACACAGAGCAATAGGCATGCATAGTATGAAAGGGGGGCGGGGAAGGAAAAGTGCTTCTATAATAAATCACTGAAACATGAGGGATATCTTTCTACTCATCCTAAAGAAGGTTGTAAAAGATGAAGACCAGTAAAAATGATATTGACGAAATGAGAAGTTGAAGGACATACTGTAGAAATGGAAAGGTGTGGGTTGCTCTTCACCACAGTAATCCTGAGCACTGATAAAAAATAGTAAGTTATAGGCTAAAATGTATTTTTAAAAAATAATATGAAGGTAGGCAATCTGTAGTTTTCCACTTTATTATGAACCTATTCCTTTAGATAAGGTAAAGGACTCAGAGCCATATTATACAAGACTGGCTTAAAAGTGAAGTTCTGTTCAACAAGTTATGACAGAGATTGAACTGAAGCTTAGATGGTATTATGGGTCCCAATTTGATATAAATCAAATTATTTTATAAGTTTGAATTAATTGATTTAAAAATAGTGGTAAGTTTTGCTTGGTTTTACCTTGCTAAATAAGCTCTGGTCACCATAGTTGGCTTTTGGCCTGTGCTCATCATTCCAAGTACTCCAAAGTTTGGTAGTTTTGCCAATGGAATTAGTCTTAGGACAAAATGGTACTTGTACAGGAAATAAAATTCATTTTCCAAGAGTGCAAGGCAACTGGATCTCTCTTAGCCACCTTCTCCAGTCTGGAAGATCTCCAGATGTGTGAATTGCAACTTGCAGGATTCCTTGATCTGCATGTCTGTTGCTGGAAATTGTCAAAAGCTGCTCTAAGCAAATGAAACTATAAGGTGGCTTAAAGGAAAGAAATAGGCAGTTTTCCTATGTCTTCTGTGACAAAATCTCTGAAGCTGAAACATAGAACTAATTGCCTCTGACAAATGGCAATCTCTCAGCTTGACCTACATCACCCAGATATTACAACACTAAAATTCTATTTTGAGTGTCTTGGAGGAGAATCAAATGCTACTGTAACAAATATGT